TGAAGAAAGGAAAGCACACAAAAATCTGAAAAGGAAGCTGAAACCAAGGAAAATTAAAATCAGAAATAGTGATACTCAAGAGAACGCATCCTATGGGGAATTCTGTGAGAAGCCTGACATGAGCAACGAAGATATAGAGGCTGCCATGGTAGAATTCTTGAAAAAACTTGCAAAAACCGACTCCGAAATTGCCCAGATCGAGCAAGCCACAAAATCTCAGGATTGCAATTTGTGGCGTCTTCATCGAAGAATGAGGTTGACTGCGTCTCGGTTTGGTGAGGTTTGTAGAAGAAGAGATACAACAAGTTGCAGAGCTCTAGTAGACGCCATAATATACCCAACCGAATTCTTTAGCAATGCATGTGACTATGGAAAAATGCATGAAAGCGTGGCAAAAGCAGAAATAGAGAAATCATATTCGCAATCAGAAGTACAATCTTGCGGGTTGTTTATTGATAGGACCCATCCATTTCTGGCAGCATCGCCAGATGGTTTGATAGGCGAAAAAGGTCTGCTAGAAATTAAATGTCCATGGTCGGCTAGAGAAATGACCCCTGAAGAGGGCATTCTGAACAAAAAAATTACGTTTTGGATAAACGATGAAATAAATAAAAAACATAAGTGGTATTACCAAATTCAAGGGCAGCTACACGTTGCACAAAGAGAGTACTGTGTGCTTGGTGTTTGGACCTCGTATGGTTTGAAAATAGACGTCATTCAAAAGGATGACGTTTTCTGGAAAAATGAAATGGAAGAGAAATTGAAATTCTTCTACATGAACTGCTTGCTCCCAGAACTGGTCGATCCCAGGAAAAGCAGAAATATGCCAATCTGCGATCCCGATGTGATCTTGAAGGCACAAGAGAACCGTTTGAACAAGAAAAAGAGTTCTTGAGAATTGGCTATTTTTGCTGTACTCGGGTACCAAAATGGAAGAGATTAGCATATTACATTGTACGCCGTTACTAACCCTTCGTGTCGGCAAATGCGGTGTGCAGATCTCGCTTTAGCAGCGATATGCGAGATGTTATGCTAATCTCTTCCATTTTGGTACTAGTACCAGATGTTCACTATTTATTGTATATTATGTATATATTGTTTATTTAAATAAAAGTCAATCATCAGGCTCAATAGCACGTAGCATCGGCTAGCTTTATCTAGTCTGTTAGATGGCGAATATTGAAATGTCACATTGACACGTTAAGCGCCACAGTAGAATCTGAAAAACCAGTCCCCTGGGCCAAACTGTTATTATTGTCAAATTAGCTTGTTTTAAGTTTCGGTTTAATATTTTGACTTGACTTTTTTCTCAAATTCTATGATTTTTCCCCTTTTTTGATTTTTTTTCTGAGGTACTAGTTGTATGTCGCGTGGCCCACAGACCAGTCGGGTCGCGTGGCACATAAGTCGCGTCGCGTTTTTTGCAAGTCAAGACTTGCATCATGTCGCGCGTTGAGCACTGTTTCGTGTCATTTATTATTGAAGCGTTGTTGGTATTGTACGTCATCTTGTCCAAATTGCTTTACTGTTTATAAACTATTGAATACCAAATTCAGTGATGTCGCATTACGAAGCGGAGCAAAAAAGGCTTGAACAATTGTGTAATGAAATACTATCCGATGAAGAGAGTGACAGTACTGAGTTATGTGGGGATGTATACTTATCTGATGCGTATTCTTCAACTGGTAGTGAATCAGATAGTAGTTGTAGTAATTCCATATTTATCTGTATTACTGTTTATTTATACCGGTATTTTGTTTATTCCTGCATAAGACTTTGTCAATCTGTTTAGTTTATAAGAGTTCACCCATATTTGTGTTCGTTAGAATATCGACATTTACCATAACTTACTGATTTGCTGTGAAATTACTTTGTTCATTTTTGAATGACGAATGTCTGATTATTTTATAAGATTTGCTTTTTGTTTTAGATTTGTAGAATATCCTCTTTTTGTAAAACTCTATAAACAACGTGTTTTTTAATGTTTTCGTTTCCAATTCAGTATAATTTGGTCCCTCAGGCCACGGACTCTTGGTTCCCGTAAGAAAATCACATCAGCATGGCACACGTCTTACGTTACGCGGCCAAATATAACTGCCAGCAGTGAGACATATCATGTGTGTCACGAGGCTCAAAGCGCCAAATGAGGTGCGACACACGCATTATATCTCATGACGCTTATCGTGTTAAGTTTATTTTACGATACTTCATAAGGTTAAAGCTAAACAGCAAGTGACATTTTATTTGTGTTAAATGCGTTCACTATAATTATTATTTTTAACTAAAAATATTACCGCCTCCAATGACCCTGGAACCACCTGGAAACTTTTGGTCACAAAGTTCTGTATTTTACCACACATTTCAAGTCTTTTCATTTGATATGTAAATTGGGGGTTTTGTACAAAAATATGTAACTCGCAATTTCGAAACGGCGGCAATCTTGGAATCAAATTTTTAGTGAATTACTGTATTCTAAATACAAGGCGACGACTCTTATTTGAGATATTAGCATCTTGATTTGAAACTGTTTTCGTATTACTGTTTTGTACAAGTGCTTCCATCTGATAACCATATTGGGGTGATTGAACAAAAATGATTTTTGTGGTATAACCTCTGAAGCATGTCCTATTGTATAAAAAGAAATGATCAAAATCGATTAAAAATTTCCCCTCTTTCATTGAAGTCTATTAAAAATGTCACTTACTGGTCCGATGTTTATCTCGAACGACCGACATCAAAACTGCTACTGTTTAACTTGGGACAACAAATTATCTGAATACGTCCTTTCTTAGTCCGTACACACCGCCGCGTTGCTTCGACTGGCAGCACGTGGATAAAATTCGTGTAAAAGCCTATTTGCAGAGGTTTTCGCGCTTCAAAATTGACGCTTCATTTTTGAATATTTTCACAGTGCACTAAAAACAAGACTCCACAGGGTGCTATAGAGCCATTTTTTCGTTTTTTCCTCTGGGTTATTTTTAAAAAAATCGAGAAGTCGAACAACAATTATCTGCACTTCCACCCACCATAACTCCTGAAAAAAATTTTTTTTAGAAAAGTGGCTCTATAGCACCCTGGACAATTGTCTTCTGAAAATACTGTATAAATTTTATTCAAATATATAGAAAAATGGAGCGTCAATTCCGAAGCAGCTAAACCGTTGTAAATGGCCTGAAACTCACTGCGTCGGAGCCGCCTTAAATAGAAAAATATGACTCGAGACGGAATTTTCCTGACCCTAGATCCTGAGCCTCCCCCAGATTTTTTCCTTGGTAACACAACTGGTTGAGAAGTATCTCAATCTATAGGAAACAATTACCATCGCAAAATCTACAATAGTGGCACAGCTACAAATCACTTTTATGAGCAGATGAACAAAATTAACAAACATGACTGTTTGTGTTAGCTTTGGCTGAACCTACTAGTATGTCTACAAAGTAAGGAGCATGTCGACCAGAATGCAGTAATGTATAGACACAGAAAGTGGTTTAAGTAGATACTGGTGAAATACTTTTCATAGCTTATGAAATTAGTTAGCAAGAAGGATAAATAGCCAGCGTTAATTTCGTAATCTAAATGTCTTTCGTATATACATTTTAGATAAGAATGTTCGTTTTCCATACGTAACCTAGCACTTACTGATTGTCTATTCAATACCAATCATCCGACCTACCATATCAGGATTAATCAAACACTGCTTCTCTCTAAATATGTCATGTCTTTGAAAATCACATCATATTGGGAATTTAATTAATGCACCTCATAAACAGCAACAGCCCACCGCCACTGGAAACAAGCCAACCAAGCCGCGGGTCCCTATAGAATGCGGTTCCTTTTATATCTAATTTTTGCTCGGACATTACCTTCCAGTATCAATAATGCGTTTTAGACTGTGTTCAGGGCTATTACACTATTAGAAATGTAAAAGGATAAGATCAAAGACGCGAAGACATACATCTTATCCTTTTCTTTTCCTTAGATAATTATAGCGGGGAGAAGACGTATGTCTTTGACGTATATCCTCTTCCACTATTAATACAACATATATCTCGATACTCTAACCTCTCCAAATTAATCGTACTGATTTTGATCAATCTTATACAATCATAATTAAACATTTAAATCAAATTTTGGAATAGTTTCCTTTTACTAAAATACTCGAAATTAATATTTTTGAATCCTCCTATTGGCGGGAAGAGAGAAACAGTTCATTTGCTTGCAGTCATTTTTTATGCGTGCGTGTGCCGACGACTGGGAAGAATTGCCAGATTTCCAAGGCTGGCTTAAAAAACCAATAAAGGGCGCGATTATGCGAAATGCATGGTCTGTAAAGACATTAATATCAAAAGTCGAAGAGATGCACTTATAAGGCAAATGCGCAGTTTCATAAAAAAAAGTATAGCAGAACAGCCAAAACTGTTGTCATTTGCAGTTGGAGGTGCATCAAAGTAACTAGAAAATGATATTAAAGAAGGTAAAATTGATTAACCTATTTGAGAAGATTTGAGATTATATAGATTATTTTATTATTTCCAGGAGAAAATCGTTTGAGCGCATTTTTGGGCGAGCATAATTTACCATTCCTGCTGATGGACCATTTGGCAAAGCAAAATTAGTAGATAATATGAATGATAAAAACTTATACAAAAATGAATCGGAAGAATGATTATCCAATATAGCTTACACATTTTTTATTTTATATACTTTTTCTGTTTTTTATTAAGAATATTTTATCTTTAGTTAGCTAAAGTGAGATATAAACTGTTTTGTTTTTCTGTTTTAGAGTATATTTTAAGTTAAATAAAATTCTATACAAGTCTACCAAAATATCGTCGACTACAACTGGCAACACTGGGGTAAAGACTCTGCTTTCTACTCCCCCTCCCCTACTCCTTCATTTCGATGGTAGCGCTTGATGAGTTCCCATTAATCTGCGAAGTTAGGCGATTTTTGAGAAAACGAGTGTTTTAACAGTATTTTTTATACATAGTTCCGTGGCATGTTAAACGTGTTGACGCGTAAATAATTGTGCAGGTCCATAGAAAATATTTTTCGGACTTGTTTAATGCTGGATTAAAGCTCCGGACGTGCTCCCCGCCTCCAAATTTTTGAGAAAAGGTGTGTTTTAACAGGTATGATATTTTTTAAACATAGTTTCGTGGTATGTTAAACGTGTTGACGCGTAAATAATTGTGTAGGGCCATAGAAAAATATTTTTCAGACTTGTTTAATGTTGGATTAACTCGCCGCACGTGCTCCCCCGTTTTCAAATTAATCGTACTGAATCTGATCAATCGTGTGCATAATTAAACTATTAACTCAAATTTTGGAATAGTTTTCTTTTACTGAAATACTCCAAATTGATATTTTTGAGTTTTGAGAGGAGAATCACGGTTTCCCTACTATCTTCTACCAATCCTACTCGCGGCGAAAAGAGAAAAGCAGTTAATTTGGCGTTATACTGATAAAAACTTCAATGATTTTTTTCAAAATGCCGAAATATATACTTCATATAAGCTAGGCAGCAGCGGTGGACGCAGTAGTAGACTCTTCGGTCTCCTGATCAGTCGCCGTGCGCTGTGCGGGTTCGAGTGCCGTCCCAGGAGAAATTTTTCTCTTGGCAATGGATGTTGTGATTGTCCGTAGGTGGTAGACGGTCTCTGACTGTCGAACGTGGAGGTACCACCCGGCGGATCTCGTAGGCGGAGCCAGAATGTGTGCATGTTGCATGCACACGTGTTCCCTCGCCAGAGTCCGTGTGGCGTTCCCCCTTTCCCCTGTATCCCCCTATAGCCCCACGGTACCCAATGGGTGTTAAGGCCTTAGGCCTTCGTGGTAGTTGGAGTATAAAAAAACAAAAAAAAAACATCAAAAAACCCAAAATCCAAACGGAAGGGCAAATAATGTAAAGCCTGCTTTCCCATCATCTCGTTGATTTCGTTGCTGGCGTTGGATGAGTTCCAATTAATGTCCGAAATTAGGCGAGGTATTACCGCAGCGAGCGTGCCCGAATCGGGCGGGTTACATTTGCGCGCGATTTCTCATTTTTCTCACTTTCATTGATAAATTCAGACAGAAATAAGTGTTTGTTGGTTTACTTTAGTAGCAATCATTTTCATTACCACAATACTTTAGAAAGATAAAGGTTCTTGAATTTTGGAATTCCAGAAACGTCTACAATGCTCATAGCAACAAATCATGTCAAGTTGCTTGTCAGCAGTGCCGCATAGAGAAAATCCGCGCCCGGGGGAACCGAAGCGCGGGCCCCTACCTCGCCCCTTTCTTTTATGATGTTCACGATTTCTTTCGATTCTGCTAAATATATCGTTATATCATGTGCACGCGTTTCAATAAAGTTGTACACTCTTTCTACAGTGCAAATAATCGGGTAAAATAAAGCACTAGCCTGATAAGCATTGAGTGGAAGGTCAAGAAAAAATTTGAGAAAAAATATCATTTGAATAATCATGAAGAAGCGACGAACCCGGTGAATTAGTATTATAGAAACCGCAAAATACTTTAAACAAAGCGAACCAATTTTTGTCTAGTGCGAAAAATAAACTTTTTAAAAAGCGATCGCAAGGCAACGATCTTATAACTCGTGTATCTGTGAGTTGGACTTGATTTCAAACAGAAAATGTTATTGTTCAGTATACAGGGTGTCCCAGAAGTCGACGTCAAGCCGAAACCGGGTGATAGGCAAAGTCATAACAGCTTTCAGAAAAATATTTAAAAAAATTTTATGATGTGTTTTGAAAATTATAGGTCTTTGAAAAAGATATAGAAATTTTACACCCTACGGCAGTCTGTCAACTCCTGTTACTACAAATATTAACTTTTTTTGGAATTTATTTTTACAATGTAATGATGAATAATGCATCTTCAAACTGGTGTCTCAACCTTACTGCCAACTTTTCTCGTTCAGGAAAAATTGCCACTTATTTCCCAACCAAGTATTCCAAAGTAAAACTTTGCTCAACTTTAACTGGCTGTACTGGAAAAAAATGTACTACGAGAGTTTGGCAAGTAACCTTAAAAGTTGGCGCATTTAATAAGGATTCCAAAATGGTATAACACTTAGAAGATTACTCGTTAACTTATGCACAATTTTTATTTGAAGAGAAACTGATGAAATTTTTCAAAATTTCCTAATTAAACAGCGATTATGAAAACGCACAAGGACCCTTAAGGATAACTGTTTGCACAACAGTGGGCGTCAAAATGCTGCTGATGATGATTTACCTTTACAGCAAATGCTCAAACTGTTTTCCTTCAGCCGCAATACACGCTCGACATCTTCTTAAAAAAGATCGGGTTATTAAACGAGCGAATCCACGGTTATTAACAAACTCAGCTGCTTCCAATAGTCTTTGCCGTAGCTCAGCTACATTTTGAATCAGCTTGAAATACACTTTTTCTTTTACAGTTCCCCAGTAAAAAAAATCTAACGGATTCAAATCTGGTGACCGGGCTGGCCACGGTATTGTACCAGACCGCCCTATCCATCTGCCTGGAAAGTTTTGATCGAGATACTCTCTCACTGAGAGTGCATAGTGCGCTGGGCAGCCATCATGCTGAAACCACATGTCCCTGTAAATACTCAGTGGCACGTCCTCCAATAAATTTTCTAAATGATTTTGCAAAAAACCTAAATAAACCTCAGCAGTCAAAGTCTCTGGGAACTCAAACGGACCGATTATTTTACCATTTAAAATTCCTGTCCAATGGTTTATCTTGAAGCGATATTGAGATTTATCTTCTCTCATCAAATGTGGGTTTGCTACGTGCCACTCGTGTAAGTTATGCAAGTTCATGTACCCATCTTTCTTAAATGTGGTCTCATCTGACCATAAATTTTTTTAAAGAACCGTGGATCTTCCCTGTGTCTTTCACGAGTGGCACGTAGCAAACCCACATTTGATGAGAGAAGATAAATCTCAATATCGCTTCTAGATAAACCATTGGACAGGAATTTTAAATGGTAAAATAATCGGTCCGTTTGAGTTCCCAGAGACTTTGACTGCTGAAGTTTATTTGGATTTTTTGAAAAATCATGTACAAAATTTATTGGTGGACGTGCCACTGAGTATTTACAGGGACATGTGGTTTCAGCATGATGGCTGCCCAGCGCACTATGCACTCTCAGTAAGAGAGTATCTCGATCAAAACTTTCGAGGCAGATGGATAAGGCGGTCTGGTACAATACCTTGGCCAGCCCGATCACCTGATTTGAATCCTTTAGATTTTTTTACTGGGAAACTGTAAAAGAAAAAGTGTATTTCAAGCCGATTCAAAATGTAGCTGAGCTACGACAAAGACTATTGGAAGCAGCTGAGTTTGTTAATAACCGTGGATTCGCTCGTTTAATAACCCGATCTTTTTTAAGATGTCGAGCGTGTATTGCGGCTAAAGGAAAACAGTTTGAGCATTTGCTGTAAAGGTAAATCATCATCAGCAGCATTTTGACGCCCACTGTTGTGCAAACAGTTATCCTTAAGGGTCCTTGTGCGTTTTCATAATCGCTGTTTAATTAGAAAATTTTGAAAAATTTTCATCAGTTTTTTTTCAAATAAAAATTGTGCATAAGTTAACGAGTAATCTTCTAAGTGTTATACCATTTTGGAATCGTTACGTTTAAGGTTACTTGCCAAACTCTCGTAGTACAATTTTTTCCAGTACAGCCAGTTAAAGTTGAGCAAAGTTTTACTTTGGAATACTTGGTTAGGAAATAAGTGGCAATTTTTCCTGAACGAGAAAAGTTGGCAGTAAGGTTGAGACACCAGTTTAAAGATGCATTATTCATCTTTACATTGTAAAAATAAAATCCAAAAAGAGTTAATATTTGTAGTAACAGGAGTTGACAGACTGCCGTAGGGTGTGAAATTTCTATATCTTTTTCAAAGACCTATAATTTTCAAAACGCATACTTAAATTTTTTTAAATATTTTTCTGATAGCTGTTATGACTTTGCCTATCACCCGGTTTCGGCTTGACGTCGACTTCTGGGACACCCTGTATATAGAGAAAATACATGGAAAGTAGAGGTGTTTTAAAACGTCGTGGGCCGTGACCGTTACATTATGTCGATGCGCAGAAGACATATTCGACAGGCGGGAAGAATATTACCCTAACCACAAATTATACTATGGGAGCAATAAATACTATCGTATGACAAAAATAGTAGATTTTGAGATAATCAATGTTTTATTTTGCCTAATATTCTTGAATTTTTTTTGTATCGACGCAGTTTAAAATAATGTTGTATGATAAACTCAGATAATTCACTTACATAGACTTATGTCAGCAGACGTATTTGAGTTTCAATAAATAACTGACTGATAATGAGATATTTGAAGTTAAGATAGTCTTGCGCGGAGTAGCTGGAGGTAATCATACAAAATTTGATAAATACGATACTGTGTACTCAATGAAAATAAGATGCAAAATTTTTGAAAAAGAATACAAACATACATGCCCATGTGCTGATGATTACTCGGTTTCCGACGAGTCTTTGAAATTGGGAGTGCTTCATAAAATTCATGATACTCTTTTTTGATCAACTGCTTCTTGCAAAGATGTAGCAAGCCATCTTTTTTCTTTTTACTTATGCCTAGAGGTCCATTGTAGCCATTTTCAAGAACGAAGTTTCTCTCTTGACACCTTCCTCCTTTTGGACTGGTTAATCGAAATTTCCTCAAATGTTTTTGCTTCAAAGCTTGTTTTATAAAATATAATTTGTGGGGAATATTTTCTAACCTGAAGTATTTTAATGTTATTCCATGTAATTTATTCATTTTTGGTGTATTTGGAAAATTGTTTTCCTACTTGACTGGTTAATGTTTTTATATCATAAATGCCACTTTGTTGGACTTCGTTAACGACATAAGGTGTGCCAGTTTTTTTTTGCAAGGGCGATGATGCACTGTGCAGGTATATAGGTCCTGTTAGTATTCTGTTCTTATATCTTTCAATGGCAGAATGCATACTGTCACCCACATTTTGGGTGTGACCGGCAATCAAAAACTTGTGGGTAATGCTATTTTTGTTTTCCATGGTATTAACTACATAGAGGTATGTTGCAGCTATGAATCTATTTTTATTTTGACCGCAGCAGTTATCAGAATAAAATATAACATCTGAACACCCATCATTGTTCTTCAAAAAATGAATCAAGAAACTGCCAATCTCGTTAGCTCCCCGCTTTCCAATTTTTTTATTTCATACATAACAATAACCGATTCGATTTGGTATATTATAAATCGTAAAATTTAGGGTTTCAAGCTTACTTTTTTAATAAAAATCACTGACCAAAGGGCACGGAGTAGGTAAAACTGCCTCCATATCATACACCGCGATTATCAGATTTGGACTTTCTTTAGCTAGAGCAGTATCCTTTTTCTTCTCTTCTCGTACCGCCATTTTATTACGGAGATGTTTTTCATAATTTTCTTGAATACCTTCCTTTTCAGCTATCGACGAATTCTTCTATGTTTCACATAGGCTGCATTGGTCTTTTTTGGGGGTTTGAAAGCCTATATTATATTCAAAGTTAAATATTTTGGCATATTGGTGATATTTAGCAAAAGGTTTACCTGATTGCTTGCACATCTCTACGTAGAGTTTGTATAACACTGGACAACAAATTTTAGTTTTTTAATTGTATCTTGGGACCTCGGTTGGCCGCGTGGGTCAGAGTGTCGTGCTACTGATCAGCCGGCCGGCCGGGTCGCGAGTTCGAATCTCGCCTTCGCCATGGATGTTGTGATGTCTTGTGTTTGTCCATAATTAGATATATTCTATATACCAACCTAGTTTCTGGCTGCATGGCTTAGTCCTAAAGCAAAAAAAAAAATTGTATCTTGTGGGAAAAGTGCACTTCTTTGTTAATTTTGGGGCGCTGAATCCAAAAATGACAATGAAATAAAAAAATTAGTTGCGGTTTAGAAAAAAAACTTTTTATTTTTAAGGATATATTAAAAAAAGTAACAAGATTCATATACTTATAAGAATCACTATATGCGCTGTCTTTTTGCTGTTCTTTTATGGATCGTTTCTGGAGCATCTCTACCAAGAGTCCAACAGTAGTCTGCAAGCATGGAAGGATTCCACTTTCCCTGGTACCTTTTTTCCATTGTTGAAATATCCTGATGAAAACGTTCGCCGTGCTCATCACTTACGGCTCCGCAATTGTCAGGAAAAAAGTCCAGGTGTGAGTGTAGGAAATGTATCTTAAGAGACATATCACAGCCCATCTTTTGATACGATGACAGCATATTTTTGACAAGGGTTTTATAGTTGTCAGCTTTTCTATTTCCCAAGAAATTAGTGACCACCAGACGGAAATCATTCCAAGCAGTTTTTTCAATACCTGTTAAAGTGTTTTCAAACTGTGTATCTTTCAAAATATTTCGAATCTGTGGCCCAACAAAAATACCTTCTTTAACCTTTGCCTCACTTAGTCTTGGAAATTTCTGACGCAGGTATTGAAAAGCTGACCCATCTCTATCTAATGCCTTGACAAAGTTTTTCATTAGGCCCAACTTGATATGCAGTGGTGGTAATAAAATTTTTTTCGAATCTACTAATGGCATATGCTGTACATTTTTTTGACCTGGCTCTAGGAATTGACGAACAGGCCAGTTTTGTCGGGTGTAATGAAGTGCCTTTGCCCGACTGTCCCCTTCACACAAAAAACAGCAAAACTTTGTGTAGCCTAGCTGCAGCCCAAGTAAAAGTGCAACATTGGTGCTCATCGTATTTTATGCAATAGGTACTTCATATTGTCATATGATTCTTTCATGTGAACTGCATACCCTACAGGAAGAGATGGTAAAATATTTCCAATATGCAATAACACTGCCTTTAAACTCAATGTTGAACTGTTTATAAACAATCTCCATTCTTCTGGGTTATAGTTTATATTTAAAGCCGCCAGTAAGCCGTTAATGTTACTGCAGAAAACCAAGTTATTCTCCATATTGAAAAATGGTTTTAAAAATGGTTCTAAGTCTTTGTGGCGTTTACGAAAAACAGATACCGAAACATCGTCTTCTAACAAGTTCCACTGCTGCAGTCTTGATCCAAGTAACTCTGCCTTACATTTTGGAAGTTCTAAATCTCTTACAAGATCATTTAATTCTGACTGTGTTATTTTGTGTGGTTGGTGGCATGACGTGCTCGGTATAAAATCAGGATCTCTTGACGTTGATGGCATATCTTCTTCCTGACGAATCACTCGATCGCCATGATCTGATTCGTTTTCTGATTCGCAAGTGTAGGATTCTGGGGGTTTTGGAATAGGATTTTCGTCACTGTGAGGCACAGGTCTCATCGCAGATGGTATGTTTGGGTAGTTAATAACCGATTTTTTTTTCTTGGACATACCTGTGGCTTGTCCAACACAAGATACCATGCAAAAGTAACAATCATTAATATGATTTGTAGGCTCTCTCCAAACCATTGGGACAGCAAAACGCATAGACCGTTTTTTGCCATTTAACCAGCTCCTCAGACTTGAAGCACATGTATTACAGCAGATGTGGGGTGCCCACTGTTTGTCTTGATCACCTAGTTTACAACCGAAATAAAGCTGATATGCCTTTGTTATTAGTGGAGTAATAGACCGTCTCTGAGACGCAAAAGTCACATCACCACATACGTAACAAAACTGATCTGGATTGTTTACACACTTTCGAGACATCTTGCATGAACGCTGTCAGCCAACTGAGGAAAAAATGGCTAATATAAAACAATATAATGTACACGTATGTATAACGTAACACAATCATGCCGATTACATCATCTTTCCTTGCCGAATATAAAAATGTAGCACGTGCATTCTTGTGAATTACAGTATATTAACACTGTCACAGCAGGAACACATATAATTACCGTATTTCTAAAACTTGAACTAATATTGAAAAAATAAGTTTCATTCCGGTTTTAGCACATTAAAAATAGTAATATTTTGTTGATTTTATTTAGGATATTTTTTGGCTGTTGATCAGTGTTATGTTAATCAAATGTTGCTCCTAGATCGGAACGTATTACCACACGCTTCTATTCATATTTGATTTGCGAACGTTTTCAGAGAAACATGATAATATTTTTTCTTAAAAGGGATAAGAACCAGCACAAGGTTGTTCATAGCCAGGGCTGCTAGATTGTATATGTTTTTCAATTCATGAGCCGTGACAAGGAGGTAGGGGAAGTCATTTTACCTCTAAATCGTGAGAATCTGAAGCTTTAAAAAAATCCCAACATTTGCTAGGAATAGTTTTTTACAGGAGTGATAGTGTCGATGTCGACCGGTCCCACACTAAGTACCAGCACATCGATCCCCCAACTACCAGCTCAGCAACAACCTCCACAACCAAAACAACAGCCCCCAATTCAACAGGTGTACCATTCTGATAACCCAGCAACTATGCAACGGCAAGTAGAACAGGAACAACATACTGCACATCACCAGCTTCAGCAATCAAACACGAATACTTTGTCTGACCAGCCCAATGCTACTTTGGCAAACATAAAAGAAAAAACACCAATAAGCTTGGTGAATGAACTAGGTAAGATACATGCTGAATCAATTGTGGATCAATAAACTGATTGATCAGCTTATTTCCCAAAAAGATGTCCAGTCCTATGCTATAGTGAAATATTCACAATTTCTATCTTATCACATCCAAGTAGGTTTGCAGGTCATTCCTTAGAAGTATTAAAAATGAACGCTATTTTCCTATTTAATAAATTAATTAAATAAAAACGCTGATGCTTTAGGACAGCGGTCAATAATTATAGAGTTGTATGCATTTTTTAACTAAATAATAATGTTTATTCTCAACATACCGTTTAGATAAATAGTAAATTGCAGCAGAGTGTATAAATGAAATATGTTACAAAATGGGTTAAAAGCATTTATAAATGGGGAAGTTCAGCACTGTAGCTATTAGATATTTATAAAAAAAAACAAGCTTAAAAATACCCAAAAAAATGTGAGTGATAGTAGAAAAAATAAACGTTCATTACATTGATCGCTTGTGCGTCACTTACATTAATGCGCAACAAAGTGTCTTTTAAAAATAAATGTTCTATATTTGATTTTAAACTGGTTTGGATGCCGAATTTTCAAGTTATTAGGAATTTGATTATAAAGCCAATAAATGTTGATCTACAAAAATAAGAGGATGATATGTAGTCATGAAACTACAAATTTAAATTATAAACATCAACAAGCAACTCACGTCGACATCGCATATTAAACCAGTGTACATCAAGCAACTTATGCGAAACTCTTTGAAACTTGCGTAGACTGTAAATTAATCTTAGACACACTTAATTCTGTATATGTCGATCTTGTCTAAGCAAAACCCATTTAAACTATTACAAATATTAAAATGGCCGAGTATAAATACTTCACAAAGCAATATTTTAAGTTTAACAGGGAAGACATGTTGATGGGCATATAGAACTTCCTGAGAACCATAAGCTTTCTGGATACATTTATTAATAGAGGCTTGAATCTGAGATTTCAGTCAAATTTTACTCCTAAATTTCTCACAGTGGCTAAACAAGTTATAGATTCACACTCTTATTTTGACATGAAAGTGGGCTCAACATTGTCTTTCAATCTACCAATTAACATAAGATGTCATTTGCTAGCATTAATCTGTAGACATTATTTTCCCAAAAATACAACTAATCTTTCAATATTTCGATTAATAATGGCTAAGGCATCACGTTTCTCGCTAGGTAGGATTGAAAGAAAAATAAAGCTGAGTACCGTCAGCATACAAATGTACCTGACAATTTCGGGATGCACCCTGATGTGCTATCTCGTTCCAGGCAACCACCAACTCCTCTCGAAGTGCTTCTAGAGTCTGAGGAGGACGTTGCAAATTGAGCAATCTCCTACCCATCATATCCCACACGTGCTCAATTGGGGATAAGTCGGGAGATCTTGGTGGCCATGGTAACAATGTGACATCATTATGTTGAAAGAAGTCTATTGTGACTCTTGCAACATGTGGTCGGGCATTATCTTGTTGGAAAGTTGGATCTGCCAGGGTGTCAAGATAGGGTAAAAGATGGGGTTCTAGAACTTCGTGGATATAACGCTGCGCGTTCATGTTACATCTGATGAAGATTAAAGGTGACCTGGAACCATAAGCTATAGCACCCCAAACCATAACTCCAACAGTGTGATGAACATGTCTTTCAACAAAAAACTGTGGATTCCTCCTTTCACCACGTCGCCTTCTAACCCTGGCACGACCATCGTGCATGCCTAAACAAAATCGAGACTCGTCACTAAAGACAATACTGTTCCATTCCTGATCCCAGAGTGACCGTTGTCTGCACCACTCAAGGCGATTACGTCGGTGTTCTCGAGTTAAAGGGTGGACCCAGTGTGGCCGGTATGAAAACAAGCCAAAACTTCTCATTCGTCGGTAAACACTTCGCATGCCAATAGGTCTTCCGTGTTCTGCAAACCATTCATTTGCAATGGACCTGGTAGTGGAGAAACGGTCCCTTAAGGCCAATAATCTTAGGCGGCGATCTTCACGGTCTGTTGTTCTACGGCGGCGTCCAGTGCCCCTTGCTCTTTGCGTACGGCCTTCTCGAAGCCATGCCTGACAACACCTAACCACAGTGTCTACACTTCTTTGCACTCTAACTGCAATTGCCCGAAAAGAAAGTCCAGCTTCCCGAAGTCCCACTATACGGCCCCTATCAAACTCACTAAGTTGACGAAATCGTACAGGTATCCGTACTCTAGGCATCGTAACCGATCGTAAAGGATGTCAAGAACCAAAATCCGCCAACGTTGATTCTTTACTGCGGCTGAAATATTCATTTTTAGAGCGTTAGTGAATTAAAAAAAAGCAGTATAAAAACCGGAATGTCCAACTGATAAGGCTGAAAATTTTTCACTTGTTTTTTACAGTAAGATAAATACATTCACCAACTTTTATTAAAATAAAACCATTTAAACTGGGTGTTCGGATTTATATGTCAATTAGTATATGTAGTAGTCCAAGGCCACGAGAGCGTTGTTTTTTTCGGAATATCTTGCTTTGAAGATGTCAGTTATATGTACCAGTGTAGTTTCGCAACTGAAACCCTTCCTAAATTGTTCTCGATCAAATAATCTCTTATTTGTTGGTCAAATAAGATCTCGATAAGTTGTCGGTGCGCTGGTAAAATACTTATAGGGCGTAGATCATTGTGGTCACCAATTTCAGACTCCTTTGGTATTGGCATAACTCTGCCAATTTTCCATGAGTCTGAAAATTCTCTACCTAAAATACAGGAGTTTGTTAGTAATGTAAGGGATGCTTTTTTGGGAACACAATAAAATCATTTCAAGATTTGATGAATATTTTCTTCCTTATTTTACGTTCTACCATTGAATAACATATTTCACCAAATAATTGAAAGTTGTAATTGCGTGTGAATAAACACTCAGAGCGAGTTACAGGTGGTAAGCTAGTGAGGCAGCCAGGAGGGATAACTACTTCTAAGGGGATTACTGCAACCCTACTTGGTAACATGGAAGTGACGTTGGAAATTGTATGTTAACGTCCAAATACAGCATAGGGTTGGCATCTTCTCGGATAATCATGCTACTTCACATTTTTCTCCTCGCAGCAACATACAACAGAGTCCAACACCAGTTACAGGCTGATAGGGGAGCAGGGACCTGCACATCAAAAAATCTTCACAGTCACCCTGAAGTTAGGAAACGAGAAATACGTAGCGAAAGGTCCTAGCATCAAAGATGCCCGACACTCTGCAGCTGCCCAGGCCCTGGAAAAGACCAAATTCAAGTACCCTCCGCCGAAAACTGTCAGTAATAGCCCTGGAACGCGGCCTTCTAATCCTGGCGTCGTCACTTCAACAGTTGAGTTAATGCTTTAGCTATGAAACGTGGAGAACTGCACTGTATATGTCGTTGAGAATGGAGGATTGTGAACAAAATCCTCAAAAAGCTTCACGCTTCAGCTAGTAAAGGGCGATAAAGCAAATCTGTTGGCCTTTTATAATTGAGGAAAATTACCAAAATCGGATCCTCATTTTGTAATTAATTTGAAAATCATGAAAAGTAGCTAACAGTATATTTTAAAAGCGTGTGACATTTACGCACAGGCTAAGAAAACACAGTTTAATTTCCTCCTAGAACGCGTTTCTCACATTTCAAAGGCAGGTTACGTTCGGCCTCGCTGTCGACTGGTGTGTCCACGACTGGTAATCAAACGTGTTACCGAGCGTGAGCGGTTGTGGACTTCTCTCATGAACGCGAGATACATATTAAAAAAATCCAGTGGGTCCTTTTAAAAATTGTCAGTATTAATGATTTTATTTTGTTTATACTTGAACTATCACAAACGCCGAAGGCCTAAATACCCTTGGGGCTATTGGAGAATACTGGGGAAAGGCGAGACGTCACACGGACTCTAGCGAGGGAACTAAGATTTTATTGTTGAGCAAGGATGCGAAATATAATAACAGGAATGCTGGCAACTCACTTTTTTCGATCCATCTCACTATTTTCGCTCTCGCTGTATATTGTAGTTTATGAAAGCTTTCGAAGGAGCTGTCCTCGTTCTCTCAAGCCCGATGATATTAAATGAAGTGATTTTTTTTATGAATATCAACTATGTCAGAGTTGTTCATGTACAGGGTTCTCCCAAGCAGAGTCAGCGTGTATTACACGAGAAATTACTAGGATTAGTTGAAATCTACGTTGAATTTTAATTCAGCTTTGCTAAAAGCACCCTATATGTATATGCACTAGGGATTTCAAATTCGGAAACAGTAAGCAATACAATACAAAATCGTTTTTAAAGGCAAAGTTGAGCATTTGGATAACTAATAAAATATTACTTAGATAGTTTGGGAATTCAGAGTATTTTTTAGGGACAGAAAATACGAACTTACACTGAACAGTTTTCCTGTTTTCCTGGATCAATTTGGACTGGTATTTCAATATACATTGCATTAAGAGTAGCATTTTTACAAGCCTTGTACAAGTAATTGTCAATATGTTAGTTCGTTAGCATGCATCTGTGGGACAAATCCTGAAACTGAATTTTGATTAACTTTAACCAATCGAGCTGAAATTTTGTATGCCTGACTGGTACGTGTGACAATACAAACTAACTGCCGCCATTCTAAAATTAATATGGCATATGCTACATAATAGCGAGTTATTATCTCCATAGTATATGATATGGGTATCAAATGAAAGAGCTTGATGAGAGGAACTGAACTAAATCCAATATGACGGAGACCGCAGTTTGGCGATTTATAATTTCCATAGTCACCCCTATAATATGGGCATGAGATGGAATGGTTTGAGAGAAACACAATAAGCAAAATGTCATTTCAAATATTTCGACCGCCGCAAGATGGCGTTTATAATTTCTATGCTTAACCCTATGATATAGTTATCGGCTGAAAGGTTTCAATGAGAATGATAAGTACTGTAGTCTTACAGTCTGATGATTTAGTCAATTATTGTGTAAAAAATACTCGTCTATAATAACTATCAAATATCCATTTTTTAACATCGCTAAAATGTAGGTTTAATCAATTGGCAAGGATACTTAATAGATATAAATACGTCTCCCGTATTCATAAGGATTTAATAATAATAACCAAGGGGGACATAAGTAGCGAACTTTAGCCTAGGCTACTCTTACACTTAACTGTTTATATTGGGTACATTGGATGTTCAGAACAAGAAATAAAGCAATAATAACATAAACACATATACCTAAGAAAAAAAAATACACATTTTGCATATGCAGTAAGTATAGAACTTGTTTAACCAACAGCGAACATCATATTTTTAGTATGTTTTCGGAAACTTTGCAAATACATTGATTTTAAATTAAACTATTTGCTAACTGATTATAAAATAATAAATACCTTTATCCTATGTTAAACAGATCCGTAGTTTTTAATCCCTTAGCAACAAAAATTGCAGAGTATATTCCTTTTTCTGTTCCCTGTCTTCTTCCATTTCATCTTCTTGATCAGAAGGAATCAATAGCTTCAGCCATTACAGAATTCCATTTCCTTTTTTCGGTTTCTCCCATTATCCTTTTCGAACGGGAAAATGGTTTTCAAAAGAATAGTTGAACCAAAAACCAGTTTATTCAACAAAATTTCAATCAAGCATCTAAATGGACCAGTTTTATGAGAAAAATGAACCCAGGATCTTGCCATTTGAGAAAATATACAGGTATAACAACTTGAAATATCTATGCATAACAATGAAACTTTTTCCACTTTCGAAACGTAATTGTGGACAGGCAATTAACATATGACGCGAAGTGCGCGTCCGCTCTACTACGGCGTATTAGATACCCAAGCTACTATTTACACTTGGCAGAGCCATTGCGGCTTTAGTGGAAGGGTACGGTTTAGGGTTATGACTAATAGAGATGTTTGTATCTAGTGGTGGCAGATATTTCACGAACTGTGATTTAGTAACTGAAAATCTCGACTTTTACCAAATACGGTGAAAAAGCGTGACGTGATCACGAACGAGGAGCTTCTCGGCAACGGCGAATAGAATCACGGGATCACAGCGTTAACGTTTGAACGTGCGTGAGATACGCATGCGCGCTATCTGCTAGGGTCGAAAATCCCCATAAGACCAATAGCCTTATAGGCTATGGTAGTTGACCCCATGCGATTTCATCGCGGTATTTTGCCCAAGATATCACTATACCCATAATCTCATCGTTATTCGGAATTCGTGATCACGTCACTGCTCTAAATTACTGATATAAAAAAGTAACAATATCAATTATCACAGATATTCATAAATAACCATATTCGGCCATCTCTACGTGTTTTCCTCTTTCCAGGGGTATCTAACCCAGACAGGGTTCTATACTCTACCCTATAACATGTACAATGCCCAACAACAGCCACAACGTTTTCCGTACGATGGCAGGCGCAACAAAAGGGGCCACTATCCGCACCATGACAACAGGTACTACGGTCAGTTCAGGCCCGTCGCTCCGCTTAATCCTGGGGACCCATACGCAGTTCCACTGAGAGTGAGTGAAAGAGAGTACCCTGGACAGGGATACCCTGTGCAAGCTGCCTGGCATGATGCTGCCGCCAAGGCGATCGACCATATCAAACTTGGTAAGTCATCGTTAAAACCCAATTCTCAAAAATAATAGCTTTTTCAATACCATTTACTCACTCTTGTACACAAAATTGAAAATAATAAAAAGCCGTTGTACGAGGGTCGTTTCAACAATAAGGTAACACCTTCGGGTTTGTCAGCTCCTCCACCACCGATCCCAACAAGAAGTACCTATTGGCGATGCTCACTACCGCCCTGACAGCCGTTAATCGCGTCACCGCCAATTGCGAAATTCGTGCAGTCATCCGATTTTTGCACACAAAAACGTTGCCACCCATAGAAATTCATCGCCAGTTGAGCGAAGTACATGGAAAACGTCTATAAGCATTCAATATGTCCTCAAATGGTGTTCTTTGGCGGCCCCATGGACATCCACGATGAACAACGGACCGGGACGCCGACGATTCCCAAGGAAGTTATGGCGAAGGTTGAGTAAATCTTGCTCGAAGATCGGCGAATCACGATCTGTAAACAGGCGGTTGAAATTCCTGAAGCTTCTGAACAAGCTGAGACGGGCAATCCGAAATCGTCGTAGGGAAAGCTCTGCAAAGCGTAACACTGCACTACGACAATGCGCATCGTCATTTCTCGCATCAAATAAAGGACTGAATCGTGCGATTTGGCTTAGAAGTCATTGCCCATCCCCTTTACAGCCCTGACATAGCGCGTCCGAAATTGTGGCTTCCACATCTAAAAAAACGCGTAGAAAAAATGGCGATTATGTAGAAAAATAGCTTAAAGATCAACCCTCGTATTTGAAAAAGAAACTTGTACCTCTCTTAAATATAATTTCATCCAATGAAGTTATTAGATCTCCACATTTATTCACGATGCCACAGAAGACAGCATTATTTAAACCGACCTTTCACATTTAACGCAGTTACTCTTTACAACTCTATTCCGGAAAAACCTAAAAACCATTGCCTCTAAATAGGTTTAGATATTATTTGGAAGATCTTCTCCTGATAAATACGTGCATTTTTTTGTGTGTGTATGTGAGTGAAGATTTAATTTCATGTACCTATGTATTCACATCATTTTACTATTACACTTTTTTCTAGATATTTGGGTCGAACAGAAGAATAGTTAAATGAGCTAAACCTCACCCTTTTATAATGTAGCCGTTATAAAGATGATTATTATTATTGTATTATATTTTTTATAAGCCTATTTTAAGGCTACGCTGCCTAGAGAACTGGCAACCCTGTCAAATAATCCAACGAATGGTGAAATATGCAATTTCAGGTTAAAAAAATGAATTTCAAACTAAGAAAATTGACTATCTTCTAACGAAAATAGATAGGAAAATTTCATAGGACATATGTAATATTCAAATGGGCGTATCAGCAAAATCAAAACAAAAAGCTTCCATTTTTTTCAGTTCCTGGCCATGTTAAAGACCTGAATCCAAATATGCATCGATATTAGAATTTTGAGAAAATTTTATGTTCGTTACCGGACAAATTTGTAGTAACGTTTTATTGCTAAGTTTTAACTTTACCATGCTTTTCTATTTTTTTTGTCAGAACAAAACGATGGAAGTCCAAGTTGCAGTGTAGACAGTACAGGCCAAATGCAAAATGAAGGCGAACCCTCTGCACCAGAGAACGTGTCTAGTGATCTCACCACTGATCTGAAATCGCCAATCTCTTTGCTCTACGAAATAGCGATTCAAATGAACCTGAACGTTACATTTGAAGTAATAAGCGAACAGGTATTTAATCTTATGTATTTCGATATATACGTAACTTTGTTGTCTGAGTAAAGCTACCAAAATGTTGAGAAAATTCGACATAGTCCGAAAATGTATGTTGTTCTCTCAAGTAAATACCAACTTTATCTCTTTTTTTTTGTGAACATTCAGTCAGAAATTAGAATTAGAGTTACCAGATACGAAAGTATTGGTGATTGGAAAAAGATTGGAGTAGAGAAAACTATTTTAAAATTGTGCGCAAAAACGGCGACGGTCCGATAACTAGTTAGCCTACAAAAGAAAAACGAAACTTTTGGAAAAGTGGCGATTCAGGTCTCAACTTAGTCTCCTTTTAGTTCGATTCACTTGACCCGGCTATGCTCTAACTTCTTTAACCCGTCTGAAAAATACGTTTTGTAGAGGTCTGCAAAGTAGGCCTCCATGGCGGCGATAATCTCCTCATTCGATTCAAATTTCTGCCCAGCGATTTATTTTTTCTAGTTTGGAAACAAACAGAAGTCGCACGGGGCCAAATCTGGAGAAGGCGGTTCAGCAGTTCGACGGCTGAGGTGTGAGCCGGTGCGTTGTCATTGTGGAAGAGCACTTTTTTCTTCGCCAAATGGGGCCTTTTTTCCTGCAGTTCGGCGTCGAATCGGCCCAATAATTCGGCCTTGTAACCGTTTTGCCCTTTTCCAGGTCGTCGATGTAGATCACACCTTGTGAATTCCAGAACACGGTGCCCTTCACCTTCGCCTTCTTCGGACCACATTCGCCGGGCAAAGTCCACTATTTCGACTGTTTTTTGGTCTCTGGTGTGTACCATTAGATTCACGTTCCATCGAGGGTCACGAAACGGTGCAGAAACTCTTCCAGATTGCGCTTAAACAGCGTCAAACACTGCTGTGAAGTGGTCGCCCGGTTGCGCATGTTTCTCATGCACAATATTTCATGCAGGATATGACCCACGCGGTCTTTTGAGATGCCTACTGTCGCAGATATCTCGCGCACCTTCCAATACGAGATCGTGGATTTTTGTCACGTTATCATCCGTGGTAACCGTTTTCAGAGCACCTGGCGATGGCTCATCACACAGCCTGCAAGCGCTCTTCAATTTCGCTGCACGATTTCCCTTCAAAAACATGTATTGAATCACCGATCGATATTGCTCTTTTTCCATTTTTATAACATTCGCGGACACGCCCGCTTCCACACCCGGTCAAAACAAAACTACGAGTCCAATTCGGCTGAAATTTTGATTGTAGCTGTCAACGACAATGTACTATACGATAGTAAATTTCTCTTGCGACAGTGGCGGTGAGGCTAAGTACTTATTGGACCGCGCTCGTACCAACAGTTTGCCAAACTGCTTTTCATCCTAATTCCATATGAACATTACAGAAAAACACTTACGTCATCTGGCTTATAACTCCTCGGCCTTCTGTACTATGCGGAGATGTCACACCACACCACTATAAAGTGGTTCGAATATTAAATATTCACAGAACAAACTATGACTTTCTATGCATATATATACTAAGTGACATATAGATCCGAACACCCAGTTTAAATTGTTTTATTTTAATAAAAGTTGGTGAATGTATTTATCTTACTGTAAATAACAAGTGAAAAAATTTTCAGCCTTATCAGTTGGACATTCCGGTTTTTATACTGCTTTTTTTAATTCACTAACGCTCTAAAAATGAATATTTCAGCCGCAGTAAAGAATCAACGTTGGCGGATTTTGGTTCTTGACATCCTTTACGATCGGTTACTATGCCCAGAGTACGGAGACCTGTACGATTTCGTCAACTTAGTGAGTTTGATAGGGGCCGTATAGTGGGACTTCGGGAAGCTGGACTTTCTTTTCGGGCAATTGCAGTTAGAGTGCAAAGAAGTGTAGACACTGTGGTTAGGTGTTGTCAGGCATGGCTTCGAGAAGGCCGTACGCAAAGAGCAAGGGGCACTGGACGCCGCCGTAGAACAACAGACCGTGAAGATCGCCGCCTAAGATTATTGGCCTTAAGGGACAGTTTCTCCACTACCTTTACCTTTAATCTTCATCAGTGGTAACATGAACGCGCAGCGTTATATCCACGAAGTTCTAGAACCCCATCTTTTACCCTATCTTGACACCCTGGCAGATCCAACTTTCCAACAAGATAATGCCCGACCACATGTTGCAAGAGCCACAATAGACTTCTTTCAACATAATGATGTCACATTGTTACCATGACCACCAAGATCTCCCGACTTATCCCCAATTGAGCATGTGTGGGATATGATGGGTAGGAGATTGCTCAATTTGCAACGGCCTCCTCAGACTCTAGAAGCACTTCGAGAGGAGTTGGTGGTTGGCTGGAATGGGAAGGACATTGACCACCTGATCAGAAGCATGCCTAGGCGCGTTGGAGAATGCGTAGCACATCATGGTGCATCCACACATTATTAAAGGTCAAAGGGCTTTAAAGCAGTGCAATCATTTCAAAATTTTTATCATTTACTTATTATGCTTCATTAAGTACTTATACAAAAGTTTATTAAAATAAAACCATTTAAACGGGGCGTTCGGATTTATATGTCACTTAGTATATGTAGAAGTAGAAGCTTTTGAACATGTTTATTTTTCATCTCTGTAACCATAACCAACCACAGACCGCACTGTTTTATGTTATTAGAAATTCATGAGAAAAAACGATCATTGCAATTATTAGTTTGATCTTAAAACGTATATGATGAAATGGCATTACAAAATTTTGGAAGGGTTTTATTGTCAAAATGAGCATTCCTTAATCGCAGTTTTGTTTACCAGGGTCCACCGCATATGAAAGTGTTTGTAACTGAATGTCGTGTGGGCAACTTTGTCGCTGATGGTGAAGGCTACGGAAAGAAGATATCCAAGAAACGTGCTGCTGAAAAAATGTTGGAAGAGCTCTCCAAACAGCCTCATTTACTGGCTATTATGAATAACGCTCAGCTTAAACCTGAACGAGAACTTAGCCATAAGAAAACGAGAAATCTCATCAAGGTAGTTTAATACGCACTTTGAAAAACCGTTTAGCATTTTTTATCAAAGACAAACCTAATCTTCCAGCTCTACAGGATGTTTGCAAAACATAGGGCAAAATATGTAAACTTTCTTCAGTGTTTTGGACAACCCGCCTCGAAGATACAGGAAATTTAGTAAAATAGTAGTTTTTTTTGTTACGGTTTCCCATTACATAAAAAAAACAAGTCTATGTGACAGAAGAAAAAAAAACGCCGAGACACGTCAAAACATTTGTCAAGGAGGACAACTTTTCAACCAAAAACTGCTTCACGTCCTTTCACCCTCTGCCCCCATGGTCATCCTCTTGATAATTTTAAATGACAAGGGGTATCGAGTAATAACTTGTTTTAGAGGTCTTTCGAAGTCTTTTATTTTGGATCGGATTGATGATATTTTCCTAAATATCCAAATAAATGTCTCCATTCAAATTTCCATTAATCAACAATGGCCCAATCACTTTGTTTTCTAAAATGCCTGTCCATACATTAATTTTTTGGGTGTCCTGGGTATGCGCTTCTACAAAAGCATGAGGATTTTTATTGCTCCAATACCTGCAGTTATGCTTATTAACAAATCCATGTAGATGAAATGTGCATTCATCACTGAAACACATATTCTTTACACGAATGGTATTATCATAAATCGCTGCAATTTATGGAGTTTAGTAACTGTGTATACAGAGCCTAATGAAATACCAGTCGCAGCAACAATTTCGCGTAATGAAGGATTCGGATTTATTCCAAAATGACCCAAAACTTCAACTTGAACGTCTTCATCCAAAACTCTCCAATGATCACGTTTTTTATTTGCAACAGATCCAGTTTGAGTTTAGTAACATGGTCCAAAACATACCTATGCGAAGTTATCTTCCCTGGATGTCTGGCGTTAAACGTGACGGCAGTTTGCCGAGCACATTGATTTAGCTATCATTTTCTTCTTAACAGATCGGGATTTTCTGACAGCTACGGGTTTGTCGTCATCTTCAAAGACCCAAACTTTTGTTTGAGCCTTGGTCGGCACATCGTGATAATAGAGCCAAGTCTCGTCACCTGTCACGATGCTGTTCACATACCGAGATTACCCCTTATTATAGATTTTCAGCATCTTTCGGCACCAAGTCGTATGACGAGTCTTCTGCTCTTCCGTCAGACTATGCGGTACCCAGAGAGAACAAAGTTTCCTCACGTGTAAACGGTCACGCAGAATTGAATGAATTGCTGCTGCAATATCAAACAGATTATCCAAGTTCGTAACAAACTGTTGTCGACGTTGCTCAAATACTTCTTGTGCTTTGCTTGCATTTTTTTGCAAATCTCTCCAAACTTGGTAAAGGTAACTTTTCCCAGTAAATAATGAACTTACGAATAGTAAGGCGCTAGTACTTGTCCATCAGAGGGAAGTTTTGAACCGGTTATTTGATGCTTTACGTCATATTAAAAATATTCCACTTTTTAGAACTGTGTAATTTCTTCGACATGTTGGCTGAACGTAAACAGTGCGTTTACTAATAGAAAAAACGAGCATTGCAATACGTTAGCTAGCGCGGGTTGCCCTGGTTCTAGCTACATAAAACTCTGTTTATATTGTTTTGACATTGTTCAAGCAAAGTTAGAGGGTATGCCTTTGAAAAAAAGAACTTTAATTTTTTGGGACTTTCATTATAAAAAACAAATAAAAACGTCCTGATTCAGACAATGGGTTTTATCGTTTTGAAAAAAGTAGGTTATGCGTCCGTGCAATAGCAGTAATTTCCATATTAAGCCCAACTAAAACTGCTCGGACCGCAACAACTATTTAGAAAAACCTAGTACAATTTAAGCAAGGTGCATCACGGTTTCTAGTATCAGGCATCTCGCTATTATTGCTGTTTGATGAACATTTTTCGTGTTGGTAGGCGACAAAGTAGCCGAAGTATGCACTGTCACTACACAGTTTTGGCGACGAACAATTCAATGCAAATAAACATAATCTACGCATTCCATGGTATTTATTCAATTCACAAGAAGTTTTTTAACTTTTCGAGCTTGTTTTTTGCTGCTCAATAGGTCTCTTGAAAAATTCCTATCGTGTTCCCCCTGAGGAAGATTTCTACTGTCGCCCATTTATGTACTCTGACTTTTGTTACATTTACAATAGTTCAGGCAATTCACGGTAAACTGTAACTTGCCTTGACGACAATGTATCTGATTACTGTAAAGGTCACTTTTGTGTAGGAGAATCAACAGGAATACCAGGCGCCCCAGTGCATTGGTGGCAGCGGAGGACGGCAGTTGGTGCCAGGCGTCTTGCCAGTCACTGATCAGTCGTCCACAGGTTTCCAGAAGCAGAAAGACGTAGCTGGAGGAGACAAACCGATTCAGGTTCAACAGCAGCAGATCAAGGGACCACCTCCCATTCAGGTTAGATTTGTTTACTATCCGAGCCGCTCTTGCTAGACAAATACCAATTACAGCGTTCAGATACCAATACCAAATAATTTTCATTTTATTCCCTCTACTTTTCACGCCTGCTGGGGAGGAAGTACAGGGTGGCCAATATATAGCTGACTGATTGAAATTGCGCGCCAACTAGCAGCTTGTTAGTCTCTGAAATATTCAGGATTAACACTTTACCAGCTATCGCGAAACTTCTTAAATATTGGAATGTCAGGGCTTGTAGTCACTTGGTCGATCTTTGATTCAAACACGCGTTTTAACACCAATTCGTAGATGTGATGGCGGCAAGCAGAAATAAGCATTTCTTTATTATTACGTTTCTGTTCTAGAAGCACACATGCACGTTAATGCGACCCTTATTTGAAGCAGTAGTTTCACAACCGAGAATCTGAACTTTATCTTCAAGATTCCAGTCAATAATAGCATCCTAAACTGCCTGAGCCTGCTTGCTGACTGAAGAGTTATCAATCCCAGTGGACAGTTACAGTGTTATGTCCAAGTGCCTGAATGGTTGCTTCAATAATAAAAACAGCATTTCTCATACTTAACTGACACCTATATAATGCTGCCACTAATTTTGGAGTTATGAAACTTTTCCTCATTTGAGTTTGCTTAGTATCAGGCTGTGTGCTCCGAGTTGGGACAGGCAACATTTCTTGTAAATCTATCTCGGAATCTGAAGATGAATTTTCGTGTACTGGTCCGTAGGATCGTAACGAGCGTATTTTGCTTCGGTGTACCTAAGAGGCGCCTTTTCTTCTATTGTGGCTAATTTCTTCTTTACTTCAGCCAAGATCCTATCTTCTTTTATATTTACACAGTTGAAGGACATCGGCATGCGCCATATCAAACAGATTGTCCAAGTTCGTAACAAACTCTTGTCGACGTTGCTCAAACATTTCTTGTGCTTTGCTTGCATTTTTTTGCAAATCTCTCCAAACTTGGTAAAGGTAACTAGTTTCTTAACACAGGTGGAGATTTAGTCGGTGCATTTTCCCAGTAAATAATGAACTCACGAATAGTAAGGCGCTAGTACTTGTCCATTAGAGGGAAGTTTTTAACCGGTTATTTGATGCTTTACGTCATATTAAAAATATTCCACTTTTTAGAACTGTGTAATTTCTTCGACATGTTGGCTGAACGTAAACAGTGCGTTTACTAATAGAACAAACGAGCATTGCAATACGTTAGCTAGCGCGGGTTGCCCTGGTTCTAGCTACATAAAACTCTATTTATATTGTTTTGACATCGTTCAAGCAAAGTACTTCTTCCTGCTGAAAGTGAGTACACCCAGTACGATTGGCTACTTGCATATCGTCTTTAGAAAACAAATCTACGCCGATGTTTTGGTTTGTCAATTCAATAGGCAACGGTAGGCGACAAAGTAGCCGAAGTATGCACTGTCACTACACAGTTTTGGCGACGAACAATTCAATGCAAATAAACATAATCTACGCATTCCATGGTATTCACTGAATTCACAAGAAGTTTTTTTTAACTTTTCGAACTTGTTTTTTGCTGGTCAATAGGTCTCTTGAAAAATTCCTAACGTGTTTCCCCTGAAGAAGATTTCTACCATCGCCCATTTAAGTACTCTGACTTTTGTTACATTTACAATAGTACGGTAAACTGTAACTTGCCTGGACTACAATGTATCTGGTTAATGTAAAGGTGACTTTTGTGGAGCAGAATCAACAGGAACACCAGGCGCCCCAGGGCATTGGTGGCAGCGGAGGATGGCAGTTGGTGCCAGGCGTCTTGCCAGTCACTGATCAGTCGTCCACAGGTTTCCAGAAGCAGAAATACGTAGCTGGAGGAGACAAACCGATTCAGGTTCAACAGCAGCAGATCAAGGGACCACCTCCCATTCAGGTTAGATTTGTTTACTATCCGAGCCGTTCTTGCTAGACAAATACCAATTACAGCGTTCAGATACCAATACCAAATAATTTTCATTTTATTTCCTCTACTTTTCACGCCTGCTGGGGAGGAAGTACAGGGTGGCCAATATATAGCTGACTGATTGAAATTGCGCGCCAACTAGCAGCTTGTTAGTCTCTGAAATATTCAGGATTAACACTTTATCAGCTATCACGAAACTTCTTAAATATTGGAATGTCAAGGCTTGCAGTCACTTGGTCGATCTTTGATTCAAACACGGGTTTTAACACCAATTCGTAGATGTGATGGCGGCAAGCAGAAATAAGCATTTCTTTATTATTACGTTTCTGTTCTAGAAGCACACATGCACGTTAATGCGACCCGTATTTGAAGCAGTAGTATCACAACCGAGAATCTGAACTTTATCTTCAAGGTTCCAGTCAATAATAGCATCCTAAACTGCCTGAGCCTGCTTGCTGACTGAAGTGTTATCAATCCCAGTGGACAGTTACAGTGTTATGTCCAAGTGCCTGAATGGTTGCTTCAATAATAAAAACAGCATTTCTCATACTTAACGGACTCCTACATAATGCTGCCACTAATTTTGGAGTTATGAAACTTTTCCTCATTTGAGTTTGCTTAGTATCAGGCTGTGTGCTCCGAGGTGGGACAGGCAACATTTCTTGTAAATCTATCTCGGAATCTGAAGATGAATTTTCGTGTACGAAGCCGAATTCAATGCAAATAAACATAATCTACGCATTCCATGGTATTTACTGAATTCACAAGAAGTTTTTTTAACTTTTCGAACTTGTTTTTTGCTGGTCAATAGGTCTCTTGAAAAATTCCTAACGTGTTTCCCCTGAAGAAGATTTCTACCATCGCCCATTTAAGTACTCTGACTTTTGTTACATTTACAATAGTACGGTAAACTGTAACTTGCCTGGACTACAATGTATCTGGTTAATGTAAAGGTGACTTTTGTGGAGCAGAATCAACAGGAACACCAGGCGCCCCAGGGCATTGGTGGCAGCGGAGGATGGCAGTTGGTGCCAGGCGTCTTGCCAGTCACTGATCAGTCGTCCACAGGTTTCCAGAAGCAGACATACGTAGCTGGAGGAGACAAACCGATTCAGGTTCAACAGCAGCAGATCAAGGGACCACCTCCCATTCAGGTTAGATTTGTTTACTATCCGAGCCGTTCTTGCTAGACAAATACCAATTACAGCGTTCAGATACCAATACCAAATAATTTTCATTTTATTTCCTCTACTTTTCACGCCTGCTGGGGAGGAAGTACAGGGTGGCCAATATATAGCTGACTGATTGAAATTGCGCGCCAACTAGCAGCTTGTTAGTCTCTGAAATATTCAGGATTAACACTTTATCAGCTATCACGAAACTTCTTAAATATTGGAATGTCAAGGCTTGCAGTCACTTGGTCGATCTTTGATTCAAACACGGGTTTTAACACCAATTCGTAGATGTGATGGCGGCAAGCAGAAATAAGCATTTCTTTATTATTACGTTTCTGTTCTAGAAGCACACATGCACGTTAATGCGACCCGTATTTGAAGCAGTAGTATCACAACCGAGAATCTGAACTTTATCTTCAAGGTTCCAGTCAATAATAGCATCCTAAACTGCCTGAGCCTGCTTGCTGACTGAAGTGTTATCAATCCCAGTGGACAGTTACAGTGTTATGTCCAAGTGCCTGAATGGTTGCTTCAATAATAAAAACAGCATTTCTCATACTTAACTGACACCTATATAATGCTGCCACTAATTTTGGAGTTATGAAACTTTTCCTCATTTGAGTTTGCTTAGTATCAGGCTGTGTGCTCCGAGGTGGGACAGGCAACATTTCTTGTAAATCTATCTCGGAATCTGAAGATGAATTTTCGTGTACTGGTCCGTAGGATCGTGTCGAACGTATTTTGCTTCGGTGTACCTAAGAGGCGCCTTTTCTTCTATTGTGGCTAATTTCTTCTTTACTTCAGCCAAGATCCTATCTTCTTTTATTTTTATCAGTTGAAGGGCATCGGCATGCGCCATATCAAACAGATTGACCAAGTTCGTAACAAACTCTTGTCGACGTTGCTCAAACATTTCTTGTGCTTTGCTTGCATTTTTTTGCAAATCTCTCCAAACTTGGTAAAGGTAACTAGTTTCTTAACACAGGTGGAGATTTAGTCGGTGCATTTTCGCAGTAAATAATGAACTCACGAATAGTAAGGCGCTAGTACTTGTCCATTAGAGGGAAGTTTTTAACCGGTTATTTGATGCTTTACGTCATATTAAAAATATTCCACTTTTTAGAACTGTGTAATTTCTTCGACATGTTGGCTGAACGTGAACAGTGCGTTTACTAATAGAACAAACGAGCATTGCAATACGTTAGCTAGCGCGGGTTTGCCCTGGTTCTAGCTACATAAAACTCTATTTATATTGATTTGACATTGTTCAAGCAAAGTACTTCTTCCTGCTGAAAGTGAGTACACCCAGTACAATTGGCTACTTGCATATCGTCTTCAGAAAACAAATCTACGCCGATGTTTTGGTTTGTCAATTCAATAGGCAACGGTAGGCGACAAAGTAGCCGAAGTATGCACTGTCACTACACAGTTTTGGCGACAAACAATTCAATGCAAATAAACATAATCTACGCATTCCATGGTATTTACTGAATTCACAAGAAGTTTTTTTAACTTTTCGAGCTTGTTTTTTGCTGGTCAATAGGTCTCTTGAAAAATTCCTAACGTGTTTCCCCTGAAGAAGATTTCTACCGTCGCCCATTTAAGTACTCTGACTTTTGTTACATTTACAATAGTACGGTAAACTGTAACTTGCCTGGACTACAATGTATCTGATTACTGTAAAGGTGACTTTTGTGGAGGAGAATCAACAGCAACACCAGGTGCCCCAGTGCATTTGTGGCAGCGGAGGATGGCAGTTGGTGCCAGGCGTCTTGCCAGTCACTGATCAGTCGTCCACAGGTTTCCAGAAGCAGAAAGACGTAGCTGGAGGAGACAAACCGATTCAGGTTCAACAGCAGCAGATCAAGGGACCACCTCCCATTCAGGTTAGATTTGTTTACTATCCGAGCCGTTCTTGCTAGACAAATACCAATTACAGCGTTCAGATACCAATACCAAATAATTTTCATTTTATTTCCTCTACTTTTCACGCCTGCTGGGGAGGAAGTACAGGGTGGCCAATATATAGCTGACTGATTGAAATTGCGCGCCAACTAGCAGCTTGTTAGTCTCTGAAATATTCAGGATTAACACTTTATCAGCTATCGCGAAACTTCTTAAATATTGGAATGTCAGGGCTTGCAGTCACTTGGTCGATCTTTGATTCAAACACGGGTTTTAACACCAATTCGTAGATGTGATGGCGGCAAGCAGAAATAAGCATTTCTTTATTATTACGTTTCTGTTCTAGAAGCACACATGCACGTTAATGCGACCCGTATTTGAAGCAGTAGTATCACAACCGAGAATCTGAACTTTATCTTCAAGATTCCAGTCGATAATAGCATCCTAAACTGCCTGAGCCTGCTTGCTGCCTGAAGAGTTATCAATCCCAGTGGACAGTTACAGTGTTATGTCCAAGTGCCTGAATGGTTGCTTCAATAATAAAAACAGCATTTCTCATACTTAACTGACACCTATATAATGCTGCCACTAATTTTGCAGTTATGAAACTTTTCCTCATTTGAGTTTGCTTAGTATCAGGCTGTGTGCTCCGAGTTGGGACAGGCAACATTTCTTGTAAATCTATCTCGGAATCTGAAGATGAATTTTCGTGTACTGGTCCGTAGGATCGTGTCGAACGTATTTTGCTTCGGTGTACCTAAGAGGCGCCTTTTCTTCTATTGTGGCTAATTTCTTCTTTACTTCAGCCAAGATCCTATCTTCTTTTATATTTACACAGTTGAAGGGCATCGGCATGCGCCATATCAAACAGATTGTCCAAGTTCGTAACAAACTCTTGTCGACGTTGCTCAAACATTTCTTGTGCTTTGCTTGCATTTTTTTTGCAAATCTCTCCAAACTTGGTAGTTTCTTAACACAGGTGGAGATTTAGTCGGTGCATTTTCCCAGTAAATAATGAACTCACGAATAGTAAGGCGCTAGTACTTGTCCATTAGAGGGAAGTTTTTAGCCGGTTATTTGATGCTTTACGTCATATTAAAAATATTCCACTTTTTAGAACTGTGTAATTTCTTCGACATGTTGGCTGAACGTAAACAGTGCGTTTACTAATAGAACAAACGAGCATTGCAATACGTTAGCTATCGCGGGTTGCCCTGGTTCTAGCTACATAAAACTCTATTTATATTGTTTTGACATCGTTCAAGCAAAGTACTTCTTCCTGCTGAAAGTGAGTACACCCAGTACGATTGGCTACTTGCATATCGTCTTTAGAAAACAAATGTACGCCGATGTTTTGGTTTGTCAATTCAATAGGCAACGGTAGGCGACAAAGTAGCCGAAGTATGTACTGTCACTACACAGTTTTGGCGACGAACAATTCAATGCAAATAAACATAATCTACGCATTCCATGGTATTTACTGAATTCACAAGAAGTTTTTTAACTTTTCGAGCTTGTTTTTTGCTGCTCAATAGGTCTCTTGAATAATTCCTATCGTGTTCCCCCTAAGGAAGATTTCTACTGTCGCCCATTTATGTACTCTGACTTTTGTTACATTTACAATAGTTCAGGCAATTCACGGTAAACTGTAACGTGCCTTAACGACAATGTATCTGATTACTGTGAAGGTCACTTTTGTGGAGGAGAATCAACAGGAACACCAGGCGCCCCAGTGCATTGGTGGCAGCGGAGGACGGCAGTTGGTGCCAGGCGTCTTGCCAGTCACTGATCAGTCGTCCACAGGTTTCCAGAAGCAGAAAGACGTAGCTGGAGGAGACAAACCGATTCAGGTTCAACATCAGCAGATCAAGGGACCACCTCCCATTCAGGTTAGATTTGTTTACTATCCGAGCCGCTCTTGCTAGACAAATACCAATTACAGCGTTCAGATAGCAATACCAAATAATTTTCATTTTATTTCCTCTACTTTTCACGCCTGCTGGGGAGGAACTACAGGGTGGCCAATATATAGCTGACTGATTGAAATTGCGCGCCAACTAGCAGCTTGTTAGTCTCTGAAATATTCAGGATTAACACTTTACCAGCTATCGCGAAACTTCTTAAATATTGTAATGTTAGGGCTTGTAGTCACTTGGTCGATCTTTGATTCAAACACGCGTTTTAACACCAATTCGTAGATGTGATGGCGGCAAGCAGAAATGAGCATGTCTTTATTATTACGTTTCTGTTCTAGAAGCACACATGCACGTTAATGCGACCCGTATTTGAAGCAGTAGTATCACAACCGAGAATCTGAACTTTATCTTCAAGATTCCAATCAACAATAGCATCCTAAACTGCCTGAGCCTGCTTGCTGACTGAAGTGTTATCAATCCCAGTGGACAGTTACAGTGTTATGTCCAAGTGCCTGAATGGTTGCTTCAATAATAAAAACAGCATTTCTCATACTTAACTGACACCTATATAATGCTGCCACTAATTTTGGAGTTATGAAACTTTTCCTCATTTGAGTTTGCTTAGTATCAGGCTGTGTGCTCCGAGGTGGGACAGGCAACATTTCTTGTAAATCTATCTCGGAATCTGAAGATGAATTTTCGTGTACGAAGCCGAATTCAATGCAAATAAACATAATCTACGCATTCCATGGTATTTACTGAATTCACAAGAAGTTTTTTTAACTTTTCGAGCTTGTTTTTTGCTGGTCAATAGGTCTCTTGAAAAATTCCTAACGTGTTTCCCCTGAAGAAGATTTCTACCATCGCCCATTTAAGTACTCTGACTTTTGTTACATTTACAATAGTACGGTAAACTGTAACTTGCCTGGACTACAATGTATCTGGTTAATGTAAAGGTGACTTTTGTGGAGCAGAATCAACAGGAACACCAGGCGCCCCAGGGCATTGGTGGCAGCGGAGGATGGCAGTTGGTGCCAGGCGTCTTGCCAGTCACTGATCAGTCGTCCACAGGTTTCCAGAAGCAGAAATACGTAGCTGGAGGAGACAAACCGATTCAGGTTCAACAGCAGCAGATCAAGGGACCACCTCCCATTCAGGTTAGATTTGTTTACTATCCGAGCCGTTCTTGCTAGACAAATACCAATTACAGCGTTCAGATACCAATACCAAATAATTTTCATTTTATTTCCTCTACTTTTCACGCCTGCTGGGGAGGAAGTACAGGGTGGCCAATATATAGCTGACTGATTGAAATTGCGCGCCAACTAGCAGCTTGTTAGTCTCTGAAATATTCAGGATTAACACTTTATCAGCTATCACGAAACTTCTTAAATATTGGAATGTCAAGGCTTGCAGTCACTTGGTCGATCTTTGATTCAAACACGGGTTTTAACACCAATTCGTAGATGTGATGGCGGCAAGCAGAAATAAGCATTTCTTTATTATTACGTTTCTGTTCTAGAAGCACACATGCACGTTAATGCGACCCGTATTTGAAGCAGTAGTATCACAACCGAGAATCTGAACTTTATCTTCAAGGTTCCAGTCAATAATAGCATCCTAAACTGCCTGAGCCTGCTTGCTGACTGAAGTGTTATCAATCCCAGTGGACAGTTACAGTGTTATGTCCAAGTGCCTGAATGGTTGCTTCAATAATAAAAACAGCATTTCTCATACTTAACTGACACCTATATAATGCTGCCACTAATTTTGGAGTTATGAAACTTTTCCTCATTTGAGTTTGCTTAGTATCAGGCTGTGTGCTCCGAGGTGGGACAGGCAACATTTCTTGTAAATCTATCTCGGAATCTGAAGATGAATTTTCGTGTACTGGTCCGTAGGATCGTGTCGAACGTATTTTGCTTCGGTGTACCTAAGAGGCGCCTTTTCTTCTATTGTGGCTAATTTCTTCTTTACTTCAGCCAAGATCCTATCTTCTTTTATTTTTATCAGTTGAAGGGCATCGGCATGCGCCATATCAAACAGATTGACCAAGTTCGTAACAAACTCTTGTCGACGTTGCTCAAACATTTCTTGTGCTTTGCTTGCATTTTTTTGCAAATCTCTCCAAACTTGGTAAAGGTAACTAGTTTCTTAACACAGGTGGAGATTTAGTCGGTGCATTTTCCCAGTAAATAATGAACTCACGAATAGTAAGGCGCTAGTACTTGTCCATTAGAGGGAAGTTTTTAACCGGTTATTTGATGCTTTACGTCATATTAAAAATATTCCACTTTTTAGAACTGTGTAATTTCTTCGACATGTTGGCTGAACGTAAACAGTGCGTTTACTAATAGAACAAACGAGCATTGCAATACGTTAGCTAGCGCGGGTTGCCCTGGTTCTAGCTACATAAAACTCTATTTATATTGTTTTGACATCGTTCAAGCAAAGTACTTCTTCCTGCTGAAAGTGAGTACACCCAGTACGATTGGCTACTTGCATATCGTCTTTAGAAAACAAATCTACGCCGATGTTTTGGTTTGTCAATTCAATAGGCAACGGTAGGCGACAAAGTAGCCGAAGTATGCACTGTCACTACACAGTTTTGGCGACGAACAATTCAATGCAAATAAACATAATCTACGCATTCCATGGTATTCACTGAATTCACAAGAAGTTTTTTTTAACTTTTCGAACTTGTTTTTTGCTGGTCAATAGGTCTCTTGAAAAATTCCTAACGTGTTTCCCCTGAAGAAGATTTCTACCATCGCCCATTTAAGTACTCTGACTTTTGTTACATTTACAATAGTACGGTAAACTGTAACTTGCCTGGACTACAATGTATCTGGTTAATGTAAAGGTGACTTTTGTGGAGCAGAATCAACAGGAACACCAGGCGCCCCAGGGCATTGGTGGCAGCGGAGGATGGCAGTTGGTGCCAGGCGTCTTGCCAGTCACTGATCAGTCGTCCACAGGTTTCCAGAAGCAGAAATACGTAGCTGGAGGAGACAAACCGATTCAGGTTCAACAGCAGCAGATCAAGGGACCACCTCCCATTCAGGTTAGATTTGTTTACTATCCGAGCCGTTCTTGCTAGACAAATACCAATTACAGCGTTCAGATACCAATACCAAATAATTTTCATTTTATTTCCTCTACTTTTCACGCCTGCTGGGGAGGAAGTACAGGGTGGCCAATATATAGCTGACTGATTGAAATTGCGCGCCAACTAGCAGCTTGTTAGTCTCTGAAATATTCAGGATTAACACTTTATCAGCTATCACGAAACTTCTTAAATATTGGAATGTCAAGGCTTGCAGTCACTTGGTCGATCTTTGATTCAAACACGGGTTTTAACACCAATTCGTAGATGTGATGGCGGCAAGCAGAAATAAGCATTTCTTTATTATTACGTTTCTGTTCTAGAAGCACACATGCACGTTAATGCGACCCGTATTTGAAGCAGTAGTATCACAACCGAGAATCTGAACTTTATCTTCAAGGTTCCAGTCAATAATAGCATCCTAAACTGCCTGAGCCTGCTTGCTGACTGAAGTGTTATCAATCCCAGTGGACAGTTACAGTGTTATGTCCAAGTGCCTGAATGGTTGCTTCAATAATAAAAACAGCATTTCTCATACTTAACGGACTCCTACATAATGCTGCCACTAATTTTGGAGTTATGAAACTTTTCCTCATTTGAGTTTGCTTAGTATCAGGCTGTGTGCTCCGAGGTGGGACAGGCAACATTTCTTGTAAATCTATCTCGGAATCTGAAGATGAATTTTCGTGTACGAAGCCGAATTCAATGCAAATAAACATAATCTACGCATTCCATGGTATTTACTGAATTCACAAGAAGTTTTTTTAACTTTTCGAACTTGTTTTTTGCTGGTCAATAGGTCTCTTGAAAAATTCCTAACGTGTTTCCCCTGAAGAAGATTTCTACCATCGCCCATTTAAGTACTCTGACTTTTGTTACATTTACAATAGTACGGTAAACTGTAACTTGCCTGGACTACAATGTATCTGGTTAATGTAAAGGTGACTTTTGTGGAGCAGAATCAACAGGAACACCAGGCGCCCCAGGGCATTGGTGGCAGCGGAGGATGGCAGTTGGTGCCAGGCGTCTTGCCAGTCACTGATCAGTCGTCCACAGGTTTCCAGAAGCAGACATACGTAGCTGGAGGAGACAAACCGATTCAGGTTCAACAGCAGCAGATCAAGGGACCACCTCCCATTCAGGTTAGATTTGTTTACTATCCGAGCCGTTCTTGCTAGACAAATACCAATTACAGCGTTCAGATACCAATACCAAATAATTTTCATTTTATTTCCTCTACTTTTCACGCCTGCTGGGGAGGAAGTACAGGGTGGCCAATATATAGCTGACTGATTGAAATTGCGCGCCAACTAGCAGCTTGTTAGTCTCTGAAATATTCAGGATTAACACTTTATCAGCTATCACGAAACTTCTTAAATATTGGAATGTCAAGGCTTGCAGTCACTTGGTCGATCTTTGATTCAAACACGGGTTTTAACACCAATTCGTAGATGTGATGGCGGCAAGCAGAAATAAGCATTTCTTTATTATTACGTTTCTGTTCTAGAAGCACACATGCACGTTAATGCGACCCGTATTTGAAGCAGTAGTATCACAACCGAGAATCTGAACTTTATCTTCAAGGTTCCAGTCAATAATAGCATCCTAAACTGCCTGAGCCTGCTTGCTGACTGAAGTGTTATCAATCCCAGTGGACAGTTACAGTGTTATGTCCAAGTGCCTGAATGGTTGCTTCAATAATAAAAACAGCATTTCTCATACTTAACTGACACCTATATAATGCTGCCACTAATTTTGGAGTTATGAAACTTTTCCTCATTTGAGTTTGCTTAGTATCAGGCTGTGTGCTCCGAGGTGGGACAGGCAACATTTCTTGTAAATCTATCTCGGAATCTGAAGATGAATTTTCGTGTACTGGTCCGTAGGATCGTGTCGAACGTATTTTGCTTCGGTGTACCTAAGAGGCGCCTTTTCTTCTATTGTGGCTAATTTCTTCTTTACTTCAGCCAAGATCCTATCTTCTTTTATTTTTATCAGTTGAAGGGCATCGGCATGCGCCATATCAAACAGATTGACCAAGTTCGTAACAAACTCTTGTCGACGTTGCTCAAACATTTCTTGTGCTTTGCTTGCATTTTTTTGCAAATCTCTCCAAACTTGGTAAAGGTAACTAGTTTCTTAACACAGGTGGAGATTTAGTCGGTGCATTTTCGCAGTAAATAATGAACTCACGAATAGTAAGGCGCTAGTACTTGTCCATTAGAGGGAAGTTTTTAACCGGTTATTTGATGCTTTACGTCATATTAAAAATATTCCACTTTTTAGAACTGTGTAATTTCTTCGACATGTTGGCTGAACGTGAACAGTGCGTTTACTAATAGAACAAACGAGCATTGCAATACGTTAGCTAGCGCGGGTTTGCCCTGGTTCTAGCTACATAAAACTCTATTTATATTGATTTGACATTGTTCAAGCAAAGTACTTCTTCCTGCTGAAAGTGAGTACACCCAGTACAATTGGCTACTTGCATATCGTCTTCAGAAAACAAATCTACGCCGATGTTTTGGTTTGTCAATTCAATAGGCAACGGTAGGCGACAAAGTAGCCGAAGTATGCACTGTCACTACACAGTTTTGGCGACAAACAATTCAATGCAAATAAACATAATCTACGCATTCCATGGTATTTACTGAATTCACAAGAAGTTTTTTTTAACTTTTCGAGCTTGTTTTTTGCTGGTCAATAGGTCTCTTGAAAATTCCTAACGTGTTTCCCCTGAAGAAGATTTCTACCGTCGCCCATTTAAGTACTCTGACTTTTGTTACATTTACAATAGTACGGTAAACTGTAACTTGCCTGGACTACAATGTATCTGATTACTGTAAAGGTGACTTTTGTGGAGGAGAATCAACAGCAACACCAGGTGCCCCAGTGCATTTGTGGCAGCGGAGGATGGCAGTTGGTGCCAGGCGTCTTGCCAGTCACTGATCAGTCGTCCACAGGTTTCCAGAAGCAGAAAGACGTAGCTGGAGGAGACAAACCGATTCAGGTTCAACAGCAGCAGATCAAGGGACCACCTCCCATTCAGGTTAGATTTGTTTACTATCCGAGCCGTTCTTGCTAGACAAATACCAATTACAGCGTTCAGATACCAATACCAAATAATTTTCATTTTATTTCCTCTACTTTTCACGCCTGCTGGGGAGGAAGTACAGGGTGGCCAATATATAGCTGACTGATTGAAATTGCGCGCCAACTAGCAGCTTGTTAGTCTCTGAAATATTCAGGATTAACACTTTATCAGCTATCGCGAAACTTCTTAAATATTGGAATGTCAGGGCTTGCAGTCACTTGGTCGATCTTTGATTCAAACACGGGTTTTAACACCAATTCGTAGATGTGATGGCGGCAAGCAGAAATAAGCATTTCTTTATTATTACGTTTCTGTTCTAGAAGCACACATGCACGTTAATGCGACCCGTATTTGAAGCAGTAGTATCACAACCGAGAATCTGAACTTTATCTTCAAGATTCCAGTCGATAATAGCATCCTAAACTGCCTGAGCCTGCTTGCTGCCTGAAGAGTTATCAATCCCAGTGGACAGTTACAGTGTTATGTCCAAGTGCCTGAATGGTTGCTTCAATAATAAAAACAGCATTTCTCATACTTAACTGACACCTATATAATGCTGCCACTAATTTTGCAGTTATGAAACTTTTCCTCATTTGAGTTTGCTTAGTATCAGGCTGTGTGCTCCGAGTTGGGACAGGCAACATTTCTTGTAAATCTATCTCGGAATCTGAAGATGAATTTTCGTGTACTGGTCCGTAGGATCGTGTCGAACGTATTTGCTTCGGTGTACCTAAGAGGCGCCTTTTCTTCTATTGTGGCTAATTTCTTCTTTACTTCAGCCAAGATCCTATCTTCTTTTATATTTACACAGTTGAAGGGCATCGGCATGCGCCATATCAAACAGATTGTCCAAGTTCGTAACAAACTCTTGTCGACGTTGCTCAAACATTTCTTGTGCTTTGCTTGCATTTTTTTTGCAAATCTCTCCAACTTGGTAGTTTCTTAACACAGGTGGAGATTTAGTCGGTGCATTTTCCCAGTAAATAATGAACTCACGAATAGTAAGGCGCTAGTACTTGTCCATTAGAGGGAAGTTTTTAGCCGGTTATTTGATGCTTTACGTCATATTAAAAATATTCCACTTTTTAGAACTGTGTAATTTCTTCGACATGTTGGCTGAACGTAAACAGTGCGTTTACTAATAGAACAAACGAGCATTGCAATACGTTAGCTATCGCGGGTTGCCCTGGTTCTAGCTACATAAAACTCTATTTATATTGTTTTGACATCGTTCAAGCAAAGTACTTCTTCCTGCTGAAAGTGAGTACACCCAGTACGATTGGCTACTTGCATATCGTCTTTAGAAAACAAATGTACGCCGATGTTTTGGTTTGTCAATTCAATAGGCAACGGTAGGCGACAAAGTAGCCGAAGTATGTACTGTCACTACACAGTTTTGGCGACGAACAATTCAATGCAAATAAACATAATCTACGCATTCCATGGTATTTACTGAATTCACAAGAAGTTTTTTTAACTTTTCGAGCTTGTTTTTTGCTGCTCAATAGGTCTCTTGAATAATTCCTATCGTGTTCCCCCTAAGGAAGATTTCTACTGTCGCCCATTTATGTACTCTGACTTTTGTTACATTTACAATAGTTCAGGCAATTCACGGTAAACTGTAACGTGCCTTAACGACAATGTATCTGATTACTGTGAAGGTCACTTTTGTGGAGGAGAATCAACAGGAACACCAGGCGCCCCAGTGCATTGGTGGCAGCGGAGGACGGCAGTTGGTGCCAGGCGTCTTGCCAGTCACTGATCAGTCGTCCACAGGTTTCCAGAAGCAGAAAGACGTAGCTGGAGGAGACAAACCGATTCAGGTTCAACATCAGCAGATCAAGGGACCACCTCCCATTCAGGTTAGATTTGTTTACTATCCGAGCCGCTCTTGCTAGACAAATACCAATTACAGCGTTCAGATAGCAATACCAAATAATTTTCATTTTATTTCCTCTACTTTTCACGCCTGCTGGGGAGGAACTACAGGGTGGCCAATATATAGCTGACTGATTGAAATTGCGCGCCAACTAGCAGCTTGTTAGTCTCTGAAATATTCAGGATTAACACTTTACCAGCTATCGCGAAACTTCTTAAATATTGTAATGTTAGGGCTTGTAGTCACTTGGTCGATCTTTGATTCAAACACGCGTTTTAACACCAATTCGTAGATGTGATGGCGGCAAGCAGAAATGAGCATGTCTTTATTATTACGTTTCTGTTCTAGAAGCACACATGCACGTTAATGCGACCCGTATTTGAAGCAGTAGTATCACAACCGAGAATCTGAACTTTATCTTCAAGATTCCAATCAACAATAGCATCCTAAACTGCCTGAGCCTGCTTGCTGACTGAAGTGTTATCAATCCCAGTGGACAGTTACAGTGTTATGTCCAAGTGCCTGAATGGTTGCTTCAATAATAAAAACAGCATTTCTCATACTTAACTGACACCTATATAATGCTGCCACTAATTTTGGAGTTATGAAACTTTTCCTCATTTGAGTTTGCTTAGTATCAGGCTGTGTGCTCCGAGGTGGGACAGGCAACATTTCTTGTAAATCTATCTCGGAATCTGAAGATGAATTTTCGTGTACGAAGCCGAATTCAATGCAAATAAACATAATCTACGCATTCCATGGTATTTACTGAATTCACAAGAAGTTTTTTTAACTTTTCGAGCTTGTTTTTTGCTGGTCAATAGGTCTCTTGAAAAATTCCTAACGTGTTTCCCCTGAAGAAGATTTCTACCATCGCCCATTTAAGTACTCTGACTTTTGTTACATTTACAATAGTACGGTAAACTGTAACTTGCCTGGACTACAATGTATCTGGTTAATGTAAAGGTGACTTTTGTGGAGCAGAATCAACAGGAACACCAGGCGCCCCAGGGCATTGGTGGCAGCGGAGGATGGCAGTTGGTGCCAGGCGTCTTGCCAGTCACTGATCAGTCGTCCACAGGTTTCCAGAAGCAGAAATACGTAGCTGGAGGAGACAAACCGATTCAGGTTCAACAGCAGCAGATCAAGGGACCACCTCCCATTCAGGTTAGATTTGTTTACTATCCGAGCCGTTCTTGCTAGACAAATACCAATTACAGCGTTCAGATACCAATACCAAATAATTTTCATTTTATTTCCTCTACTTTTCACGCCTGCTGGGGAGGAAGTACAGGGTGGCCAATATATAGCTGACTGATTGAAATTGCGCGCCAACTAGCAGCTTGTTAGTCTCTGAAATATTCAGGATTAACACGTTATCAGCTATCACGAAACTTCTTAAATATTGGAATGTCAAGGCTTGCAGTCACTTGGTCGATCTTTGATTCAAACACGGGTTTTAACACCAATTCGTAGATGTGATGGCGGCAAGCAGAAATAAGCATTTCTTTATTATTACGTTTCTGTTCTAGAAGCACACATGCACGTTAATGCGACCCGTATTTGAAGCAGTAGTATCACAACCGAGAATCTGAACTTTATCTTCAAGGTTCCAGTCAATAATAGCATCCTAAACTGCCTGAGCCTGCTTGCTGACTGAAGTGTTATCAATCCCAGTGGACAGTTACAGTGTTATGTCCAAGTGCCTGAATGGTTGCTTCAATAATAAAAACAGCATTTCTCATACTTAACGGACTCCTATATAATGCTGCCACTAATTTTGGAGTTATGAAACTTTTCCTCATTTGAGTTTGCTTAGTATCAGGCTGTGTGCTCCGAGGTGGGACAGGCAACATTTCTTGTAAATCTATCTCGGAATCTGAAGATGAATTTTCGTGTACGAAGCCGAATTCAATGCAAATAAACATAATCTACGCATTCCATGGTATTTACTGAATTCACAAGAAGTTTTTTTAACTTTTCGAGCTTGTTTTTTGCTGGTCAATAGGTCTCTTGAAAAATTCCTAACGTGTTTCCCCTGAAGAAGATTTCTACCGTCGCCCATTTAAGTACTCTGACTTTTGTTACATTTACAATAGTACGGTAAACTGTAACTTGCCTGGACTACAATGTATCTGGTTAATGTAAAGGTGACTTTTGTGGAGCAGAATCAACAGGAACATCAGGCGCCCCAGTGCATTGGTGGCAGCGGAGGACGGCAGTTGGTGCCAGGCGTCTTGCCAGTCACTGATCAATCGTCCACAGGTTTCCAGAAGCAGAAAGACGTAGCTGGAGGAGACAAACCGATTCAGGTTGAACAGCAGCAGATCAAGGGACCACCTCCCATTCAGGTTAGATTTGTTTACTATCCGAGCCGCTCTTGCTAGACAAATACCAATTACAGCGTTCAGATACCAATACCAAATAATTTTCATTTTATTTCCTCTACTTTTCACGCCTGCTGGGGAGGAAGTACAGGGTGGCCAATATATAGCTGACTGATTGAAATTGCGCGCCAACTAGCAGCTTCTTAGTCTATGAAATATTCAGGATTAACACTTTACCAGCTATCGCGAAACTTCTTAAATATTGGAATGTCAGGGCTTGTAGTCACTTGGTCGATCTTTGATTCAAACACGCGTTTTAACACCAATTCGTAGATGTGATGGCGGCAAGCAGAAATGAGCATGTCTTTATTATTACGTTTCTGTTCTAGAAGCACACATGCACGTTAATGCGACCCGTATTTGAAGCAGTAGTATCACAACCGATAATCTGAACTTTATCTTCAAGATTCCAGTCAATAATAGCATTATAAACTGCCTGAGCCTGCTTACTGACTGAAGTGTTATCAATCCCAGTGGACAGTTACAGTGTTATGTCCAAGTGCCTGAATGGTTGCTTCAATAATAAAAACAGCATTTCTCATACTTAACTGACACCTATATAATGCTGCCACTAATTTTGGAGTTATGAAACTTTTCCTCATTTGAGTTTGCTTAGTATCAGGCTGTGTGCTCCGAGGTGGGACAGGCAACATTTCTTGTAAATCTATCTCGGAATCTGAAGACGAATTTTCGTGTACTGGTCCGTAGAATCGTGTCGAACGTATTTTGCTTCGGTGTACCTAAGAGGCGCCTTTTCTTCTATTGTGGCTAATTTCTTCTTTACTTCAGCCAAGATCCTATCTTCTTTTATTTTTATCAGTTGAAGGGCATCGGCATGCGCCATATCAAACAGATTGACCAAGTTCGTAACAAACTCTTGTCGACGTTGCTCAAACATTTCTTGTGCTTTGCTTGCATTTATTTTGCAAATCTCTCCAAACTTGGTAAAGGTAACTAGTTTCTTAATACAGGTGGAAATTTTTTTTCGGTGCATTTTCCCAGTAAATAATGAACTCACGAATAGTAAGGCGCTAGTACTTGTCCATTAGAGGGAAGTTTTTAACCGGTTATTTGATGCTTTATGTCATATTAAAAATATTCCACTTTTTAGAACTGTGTAATTTCTTCGACATGTTGGCTGAACGTAAACAGTGCGTTTACTAATAGAACAAACGAGCATTGCAATACGTTAGCTAGCGCGGGTTGCCCTGGTTCTAGCTACATAAAACTCTATTTATATTGTTTTGACATCGTTCAAGCAAAGTACTTCTTCCTGCTGAAAGTGAGTACACCCAGTACGATTGGCTACTTGCATATCGTCTTTAGAAAACAAATCTACGCCGATGTTTTGGTTTGTCAATTCAATAGGCAACGGTAGGCGACAAAGTAGCCGAAGTATGCACTGTTACTACACAGTTTTGGCGACGAACAATTCAATGCAAATAAACATAATCTACGCATTCCATGGTATTTATTCAATTCACAAGAAGTTTTTTTTTAACTTTTCGAGCTTGTTTTTTGCTGGTCAATAGGTCTCTTGAAAAATTCCTATCGTGTTCCCCCTGAGTAAGATTTCTACTGTCGCCCATTTATGTACTCTGACTTTTGTTACATTTACAATAGTTCAGGCAATTCACGGTAAACTGTAACTTGCCTTGACGACAATGTATCTGATTACTGTAAAGGTGACTTTTGTGGAGGAGAATCAACAGGAACACCAGGCGCCCCAGTGCATTGGTGGCAGCGGAGGACGGCAGTTGGTGCCAGGCGTCTTGCCAGTCACTGATCAGTCGTCCACAGGTTTCCAGAAGCAGAAAGACGTAGCTGGAGGAGACAAACCGATTCAGGTTCAACAGCAGCAGATCGAGGGACCACCTCCCATTCAGGTTAGATTTGTTTACTATCCGAGCCGCTCTTGCTAGACAAATATCAATTACAGCGTTCAGATACCAATACCAAATAATTTTCATTTTATTTCCTCTACTTTTCACGCCTGCTGGGGAGGAAGTACAGGGTGGCCAATATATAGCTGACTGATTGAAATTGCGCGCCAACTAGCAGCTTATTAGTCTCTGAAATATTCAGGATTAACACTTTACCAGCTATCGCGAAACTTCTTAAATATTGGAATGTCAGGGCTTGTAGTCACTTGGTCGATCTTTGATTCAAACACGCGTTTTAACACCAATTCGTAGATGTGATGGCGGCAAGCAGAAATAAGCATTTCTTTATTATTACGTTTCTGTTCTAGAAGCACACATGCACGTTAATGCGACCCGTATTTGAAGCAGTAGTATCACAACCGAGAATCTGAACTTTATCTTCAAGATTCCAGTCAATAATAGCATCCTAAACTGCCTGAGCCTGCTTGCTGACTGAAGTGTTATCAATCCCAGTGGACAGTTCCAGTGTTACGTCCAAGTGCCTGAATGGTTGCTTCAATAATAAAAACTGCATTTCTCATACTTAACTGACACCTATATAATGCTGCCACTAATTTTGGAGTTATGAAACTTTTCCTCATTTGAGTTTGCTTAGTATCAGGCTGTGTGCTCCGAGGTGGGACAGGCAACATTTCTTGTAAATCTATCTCGGAATCTGAAGACGAATTTTCGTGTACTGGTCCGTAGAA